CTGTGTATGGCATGAAACTTAAAGTACTATTTAAAAATAGTTAAATAACTAAAAAATAAAACATTAATTGACTAACAAAAAATTATAAGTAAATTTTTATACGCTAAAAAACTAAAGAAAAATCATTACTACAAGGCCGCTTAAATAAAAAATAAATCGTAAATAAAGAATCCTTTTCTGGTGAAAGTTTTTCAATTTTTGTTGTAGAATGCTATTTAATTTCTGGTGAAATTTTGAAAACTTTTATTTCATTTCTGTTATTTAATTTCTGTTAAAGTTTGAAAACTTTTATTTCAGTCTCTTATTCAATTTCTGTTGTAATTTGTTACTCAAGCTTTGTTTGCTTGCCATGAAGTTTCTGTTGTAGTTTGTTATTCAATTTTTATTAGGCATTATTTTTACTTTACATTAAGATATAGTAATGCTGTATTATTATATAGCATAAATTTACAAAATTTCAAAATAGTTTGGGACCCACATGTCAGTGATAATTTTAAAAGTATATTTAGGTCTCAAAAAGAATTAATGCAAGAAAACTAAAGAAATATATGAAATAAAACAAAAGAAATGTATGAAAAAATAAAAAATCTTTATTTGCCGATCTTTTTTTGATATATAAATTGTTTTCTTTTTCTTTCCATTCTTTTTATTTATTTCATTCATTATTTTTCTTAACTTCTATTTTCTATACTTCTTCACTTATTTTCTTATAGATGTTTATTTTTCTTTTCTTGTTTTAAAATATTTATTTATTCTTCTTTTTTGTTGATTTTATTATTCGTTTAATTTATAAATGTTTTCTTTTCCTTTTTTTCTTTTTTCCTCTCTAAAAAAGTTGTATTTATCCGTTTGAAAAAAGCGTCTGCTATTTGCGATGTCATCTCTTTTACAAAAATGACACACACTTTTTTATATATATATATATAAAATAAAAAATATATATATAGTAAAATGCCTTGATTGGAACAAAATGGTATCTTTGCAAAAACAAATTTATTTCCAATAACAGTGCACTCAATCAAGTCAAATTATGGATTATAATCTGGTAGGATTGTTTTAATCAAATCATAAATGTTTTCATAGTTAAGCCATTTTTAGTTAATAAATACTCCTAAAGTGTTTCAATAAATTTCTCTACCTTCTACCTCTATAATCTAACTCTACCTATATATATAATATATATATATATATATATATATATATATATAAATATATATATATATATATATATATATATATATATAATATATATATTATATATATATATATAATATATATATATATATATAATATATACATATATACTATATATATATATATATATATATATATATATATATATATATATATATATATATATATATATATATAAAATCTATTATATTTATTATATATACAAAATATATTATATATATTATATATACATATATTATATATATAATAGTATATATAAATATAATATATATTTATATATATATTAAATATATATTTTTTATGTATATATATATATATATATATATATATATATATATATATCTATATATATATATATATATATATATATATATATATATATTATATATATATATATATATATATATATAATAAATATACATTTGGGTCCATACATATAATTTGGGTCATTTTTGACTGGTGTTAAAAAGTTTGTAGATAAGCTAAGAATGTTTCTATAGGATATATGGCGAAGGCAAAGGCGTCTAAAGACAAAGGTTACTCTAAACATGGTTAAAACAGCATAATAGAAAAATATGTTTTACATTTTCTTTTTCCTGCTGACAGAGAATCCCATCCTCAGTTCCAGACTACTTGCAGTGATGTAATTAAATTTTTGTAAAAGTTATAGTTACTGTCAGAACTAATAGAATTATGATTTAATTTACTAAAATTTATTTCATCATTATCTTTATAACTGAACAGAAAAATCCAATTTCACAATACTCTATGTAACAGTATTACTTCATAACATAGGATAATCTATTGAAATCTATACTTAAAGTATAGATACTTTAATTAAGTAGTTAATTTTTTTATTTAAAGTAAAATGATTAAACTAATTTAAGCCTAATATCATTGAGCCAAAAATATATATAAAAATAAGTAAATGAAAAAATATAAATACAAATTAAAATGTCCTTTTTCAATCTTAAAGATTTTAAACAAAGAAGTTTGATGAAATACAAACAAATTTGTTGAAATACAAACAAACAAAAATAGCATTTATAAAGTTTATAGCAAGTATTTGAAAGTAAAATTGACTTTAAAAAATCTAACCAGTATTGGTTTAAAAATTATCACCAGACAATAACAGACAGAACGTCCTAATGGGTCAGTAGTGAGTAAGCTCACTACCTAAACCCTCTAATTTCCTAAATATTTAGTAATTTTAAAATTCGCTTATCTTTATATCAAGTAAATATAAAATAGTAAATATATCAATAAATATAAAAATGTAATTTTTTCCACTATAATCTTTTTGAAAACATACTTCTTAAGACCCTCTCATTCCTTATAAAACAGTTTATATATGTTAAAATTTTAGTTCAATTCCCTTAAATTTGTGCCAATGTAAAATATTTTTGGAAATTTGAAAATAACACAATTCAATTATTATTTTTTTTCCAATGCTCTTCTTCACTGTTATTACACATCCCCCTGAGAAATGAAAAAAAAATTCTTCCGCAAGAATTTTTTTTTTCATGGCTTTGATTCAGTTTAACTTTGACCAAATGCTTCTTTCCTCTAAATTTTGTACATATAATGACCATTTTTGCTATTGATAATATTAATGACAAAAAAAATTTCATATTTTTGTCACTTCAAACTCAATTGTATATTTAAGTTTGATATTTTGTTGGTTGATAATTACAAGTAACTTATTGGCTAGTTCAATTGTTAGCTAGTTCAACTTGTTAGCTTCTTCAACTTGTTAGCTTGCTCAATTTGTTTTATATGTAGCTGTCATCAATATATCACAAAAGAATTTGTATAAAAATATTTTTATTTGATAAAATGACTATTGCATTTGATTTAAGGGTAGTCAGTAAAATGCGAACTGCGAACCACAAACTGTGAACCGGTAAAATGCAAACTTTTTTGTGAACCATAGTTCTACTGCTTGTTAATGATGTAATACCGTTAAATTGTTTATTTTACTATATATTTTATGGACTTCAAACAGGAACATAAATAATATTTAATTTTAAAGAAACACAATCTAATTTAAATAAATCTAATTTAAATTAAAAAATTGACAAGCAAAAGTGTTTATAAGTATCATAACCGTTATGGTCATTAAATTATAATACTTTGGTTTGCAAAAAAGTTCGCATTTTACCAGTTCGCAGTTCGCGGTTAGCAGTTCGCATTTTACCGACTACCTGATTTAAAGTGATGCAAAAAAAATCTAACGACCGATAAAGCAGGACCAGTTCAAAATTTTTCATTTGGTGAATTTATTTTCCATTTTATTTATAATAATAATAAAATAAATACAATTATTTTAATTTGTTAAATTTATTTAAGCGTTTTTTCACTCATTATTTGTATCTTTTTCTCATTAGTTTCCACTAAAAATATTCTTTCTCAAAACGTTATTTCTCCTAAAGATGAAGATGTTCTTTCATCTAGCGAAATAAAAGTTGGAAAGCTTAAAATTCCTGAAGTTTTTGCTGTAAGAGTTTTTAAATCTTTTTTTTTTTTAATTATTACAAAATTTTTATTGACTTATTATTATTTATTTTTATTTTATTTTTTTATAATATTTTTTTTTTTTTTTATAAATATTTTTATTTATTATTCTGATTCACTCCCAACAAAGTTGCAAGCAAACTCTCTTTTTAGGGAGTTACTAGAAAACAAAGAATAATGTTAAAATTTGAAAAATTTTAGTTAATTTATAATTAAAGTTAAATTTAATTAAAATTTAATTTTAATTTTAAATAGTTAAATTTAATTAAAATTTAATTTTAATTTTAAAATAAAGGAAACAGTTGACAGAAGAATTGAAATGTTGTAGGTTGTATGAATCAGGAAAGCATGAAGATGGGAATTTCAAATTTCAAAAGGGGATTTCAAAGGGTTGAAGTGTAGAGAAAAAACAAGGTGAATAAAAGTTTTTAGAGCATGCTGGGACAGATACAGTAAAGCATGAATCTTTGCCTTATGACGAGTCAAACGAGAATGAGTTTTAGTTGATGGAACTAGAGATGATAGCTCCTTTGAACAGCGACCATGATAATATTTGTAGAAAAGAGAAAGAGATGCAACTTTATGATTATGGAAAACAGTTCTAAGCTATCAAATTTTTATCAAGACAGGAGTATAAAAATGAGTCATCAGCAAATAGAGCCAATTTAGGTGTAAGGTTGTTGGGTAGATCGTTGATGTAGATAAGAAACAAAACAGAACCAAGAATAGAACCTTGAGGTACACCAGAAGTTACTGGAAATTAAGACAAGTGTTGGTCTTTGAGGATAACTTTAAGTAGTAAGAAAAAAAAGATTTGATGTTCTCAAAAACTTTTTTAGATTAAAAGTTTTTGAGAATATCAAATTAAAGTTGTTAGCAACCTCCATCTAATGCTTGATAAAATCTGTCACAGCAGTTAGCAAGTTGTTAGCAACCTCCATCTAATGCGCAATAAAATCTTTCAGTAACAGCAGCTACCAAGTCAGCCATCTTTATTACCAAGAGCACAAAGATTGATAACTGTATCGATTGTCTGACAGTAAGTTATTTAAATCAAGATGGGATGTTAAAAATTTATTGATCAAAGACTCAAAGACCTTGCTAATAACAGAAGACTGATTAGATGATAGTTGGAGCAGGTCAGAATGTTCTCTAGAGTTTTTAGAAATTGGAACCACTTATAACCATGACGACACTTATAAACAGATGCCATTTTCCAGTAGGCAGAAACAAGATTAAGCCAACCCCCATTAAATAGTTTAGAAAGAATTGAAGAGAATTATGGAGAACACTTTTGTAAGACTATGACAGGATTGTTGTCTGGACCAAAGTTGCAGAGTTTAATTGAAATATGACTTAAACAAAAGTTCTTACAACATTTAACTATTATTTGAATGTTTAACAATGGGTTAACTTGTTTAACTGGAATGGCAAGAAAAGTAAGACAATAAGATTCTTGAGCTGAATTAGAAAAAATGTTCTATGCAAATAGTTCTGCCTTATCTTTAACATAGGTAATAAGATTAGTTCCATGAATGAGAGATCTACCTTTGTTAATGACACTGTTAAAGATTTTAAAGTAAAACTTCTGAGATAATTTACGAGATTTAGTGAACTTAGACTAATGAAGCTTAGCATCAGACAGCATCTTTTTATATCAATTTCTTGCAATAATAAAGAGGTGTTTGTTCTTAATAGATTTGTTCTTTTGCCAAAAGATGAAAAAGGTTATTAGGATTTGATATAGCAGCTGCACAAGAAGGTGAAAACCAAGGAATAGAATGAGGCTTGATTTGGAACTGACTAAAATGAATAAAAGCTTTCATTCTTACCTGGATCCAGAAAGTTATGTAGGAGGCAGATGGAAAAGACATTAGCCAAAGAACCGTCACAAAGAAAACTACAACTGTTTGAAGGCTATTTCAAAAACAATACTAAAAGCATTAACAGGGACACCATCCATGCGCAAAGCGGTATTGTTAATACTTGGATATTTTACAGCTAGACAGAATCAGCATTTATGAGAGCTACCACAATGTTTGTACCATTATCAGGAAATAACATGAAGAGTGTTGCTTAGCCATTATCAAGGTGACACAAGCAAAAATCTGTAAGTAGAATCAAGAAGATCCAGCATTCATCATTCTAAGCAAGAAGCAATTTAACAAATGTTTACATCTACGCCAGCCTAATAGGTGAAAAAGGGTATGAGGCTGGTCAACATAGTTATTCTGTTTACCCCTAAAGTTTTTTCCTTGGAGGCCTTCTTCAAGACAGTAGCTGGTTACAGTTAACATCTGCCCAGATGAGCATCTCTAGTTAACCAAGAGCTCTAAGACTAGATGCAGTTAACATCTACCATTGAGACATTATTTCTAGCCAGAGACCTAAGGCAAGGACCTTTTAAGTAGGAGTTTTTCCTAGCCTTTCCCAAAAAAATGCAATTCCCATAAGGCAGCAGTTCATAGCACAACTAGTACTGGGTTACATGATACCAGTAGCAGGTAACCCAGTACTGTATTTATGTATATATATATATATATATATATATATATATATATATATATATATATATATATATATATATATATATATATATATAATATATATATATATATATATATATTTATATATATATATATATATATATATATATATATATATATATATATATATATATATATATATATATATATATATATATATATATATATATATATATATATATAAATACAGTATTGGGCAAACCAAGTGCAACCAAATAATGCTAATTTAGATTCTTTATATAAAAGTGCTGCATTTTTTCAATTTAGAGAAATAACTATGTAACTGTTTAGAGACAACGTTCTTCAAGTTTTATTCATCACAAAGTTAATTATTTGTACACGAAAATAAATAAATTAATCAAAAGTATTAAAAAAAGTTGATTTCCTTTTGGACAAGTGCAACTCCACAAAATGTTCACCAAGCTGTATTTTGCTATCAATATTTTGTGGTGAATCCTTTGTTGTCGATCACATTCTTGCATCTTCGAGGCATAGATTCGATCAGGTGATCAATGAAACTTTGTGGAATTGCTGCCCAGGTCTTTTGGATTTGTTCAAACAGTTGATCCTTATTACAAACACCTTCACGATTAATTCTGCGGTTGACGATCTCGCACAGGTTCTCGATAGGGTTGAGATCTGGAGATTAAGGCGAAAAATCCATCATTGATAGGTGGTTGTCTTAAAACCACTGCTTGACTACTTTTGCAGTGTGTTTCGGATTGTTTTCTTGCTGAAAAACCCATTTTATTGGCATATTCCATTCAGCATGAGGTAACATAACATCTTTCAGGATATTTTTATAAATGAAATGGTCAATTATTCCATCGTTTAGATGTATTGGACCTAGACCGTAAGCAGAAAAACACCCCCAAACCATTACACCCCCAAACCATCACATTCCAGTCAATATGAGATGTAGCAAACAGGAGTCTTTATTTCTGGTTCTTTTGTGAAGTCAGCGGTTTCTTTGCAGGGCGTCGAGAAAACAATCTGGCTTCAACAGCACGTCGTCTGATTGTTCTGTCCAATACAGGCAGCTAATTGCTTTTGTATCTCGACTGATGATATCCAGGGATCCTTCTTGATGGATCTGACGATCATAGAATCCTATCTAGAAGAGGTGGAACGCGGTCTTCCACTTTTTTTATCTGCTGCCAACTTCCCCGTAGAATGATATTTGGAACATAATCTTGATACGGTCCATTTTTTCAACATTCCACTTACGTAATCGCCAATAATTTTCTTTCTTAGTTCCAATCCAAGTCTGTCAGGAGCCATTTTTGCACTTAAAGTCATAAAAATAATAAAAATAAATAGTACAATATCTCAAGGCTTACCGTGTTACATTTACCTTGTGATGATACAATAATGCTCTGTGGAACACAACGTCTTGGTTGGATGTGGACTGTATTGATGAAATAAAACACTTTTTGTATTTCACTTCTTGTATTGATGTTCTTCAATAAAACACTTTTATAAAACTCACTTCGATAAAC